AAGCATAAACAATGGGACAGAAGCAAGAAAAAGTGTGGCTTAAGGGAGCCAGTGTTGGACACAAAGGCCACATGCACAGAATGGGGTAATGATAGCTTATCACTGAATTACATGTCTTCAACCATATGCCTCTTTAGGATGTAGAAGGGAACAACTATACAACAGGTTAGAGGGTTTTCTTTAAGGACATCTGAAGGCTATAGAGCAGCAATGCCAAAGTTACAAAGTCTGTCCTAACCTTGAATCCTGAGCCCTATTATGAGGTGTGGGATTATAGTTAAGTTGCTCTTTAAGCTTCAGCCACCTCATCTGTTAACAGGAATGAACTTCTTATCTTTGTAGTTACTATAAGGGTACTAAGATGTATGCAGATCAATTATGACTGGCACCCAATGCACAGAAGATCCATTACTATTCTCATGCACTGTGAGAGTTCCAAACTGAATTTTCCTTCTTTTTAAATTTCATTACAGACTGGAATGGCTCTATAGTTAACAGCCCTGCATGGACTAGCTCTAGAATATATCTCTAATGAGTGTTGTGTTAGGCAAGGTGCTTTGTCCCTCCTTTCGACTCTTTGATTTTTATTTATTTTTTGGTACTGGGGATTGAATTCAGGACCTTGTGCTTTCAAGGCAGGCGGTGGAACCACTGAGCCAAATAATCCCAGGCCCTCCTTCTGACTCTTATATTTAATTTCCTTCCACTCTCTGACTTTATTTATTTACAAACTGTCTCACAGTGTGTAGTTCAGGCTGGCCTTGAACTCACTATTGTAGCCTAGGCTGGCCTCAAATTCATGGTGAGCCTCCTGCCTCAGCCTCCCAAGTGCTGGGATTATAGGCATGTGCCACCACACCTGGCTGTCTTTAAATGGTAATTTTCTTTCATTTTTCTGTCATCCACATTCTGGAAAACTTTTTCTTGATCATTAATTTCCACTGTACATACATTTCAGGGGCTACCAGCAGGCCCCCCAAATCAGCACTAACCCAAGGCCCTTTTATTTATACAGTGGCAAAGAGACCACAAAGCAGCCACATTATTGTATGCACAAAAATCTTACAGGTAAGCCTTCCTGTATATTTTATATTCCGGTGACATCCAGCCTGGCCAGGTAAAGTAACTCACTGGCAAGTGGGAAAGCTCTCCTTAGATGTTTGGCATTTGCCTCCACAAAGTTACTGTTAGCTTTTCAAAAGAGGCAAGAGTCACTAGCTCAACTAGTAACTTTCTGATATTGAACAGTTCATGTTTTACTGATTAACTTGTAAGATGTGGGGAGACTTTGTTTGCATAATAAATAAAACAAAATTACTGAATTTGACTCCTCTCTCCATTCCCTCTAGCCCAAAAGACAAGAAACAAAACAAACTGAACACTTCATGAATTTTGTGTCACCCTAACAGGATGCCATGCTAATCTCTCCTTTTAACACTTGTGCGCTGCTGAAGCAACCACTTGACACTTTTTTTTGTGGTGGGGGGTACCAGAGATTAAACTCAGGACCTTGCACTTGCAAGGCAGGCACGGTGCCACTGAGCTAAATCCCCAGCCCAAGAGAAGATAAACCAAAAGGCTCCCAGAAAAGAAATATTGACAATGTAAACAAAAGCCAAAAATCAAACAAGCAAAACCCAGAGAAAATGGAGTGATTTTCACGATCCAAACAGCATTCATTAAACACAAATATGCAAAATACTGTGTACATGTGCGCACTCATGCACACGCATGCACGTGAACACACACACACACACACCTTTTATTTAATCCTCAGGACAGCCTTGAGAAGTTATTTTTGATAGTGGAGACATAAAAGGCTCAGAAAAGGTAAGTGATTGGTCTGTGGCCACAATGAAAATCAATTCAGGTCTGGCTCAAAACCCAGAGTGGAGCCCAGTTACATCTACTCAAACAGCTGTATCTCTAATCCGTAATAATGCAAGTTGTCACTAACATTTATCTAGCTCTTCTCATGTGGCAGTGTGCTAAGCAATTCATGGACACAATTTCACTTAATCCTCTGGATTCCCTACAAGCTGGGTTTATCAAGATCTCTATTCAAGGAAACTGTTTGCTAAAAGTTCAGTAACAGTGAGGAATAGGGCTCTAACTGAGATCTAATTCTGGAACCCATTCTCTTAATCCTACACCAATGTGCAGGAAACTCTAGTCCTAGCTCCAACCAGGCAAGTCACTTGATAGCTGTCTTCATTTCTTTTCAAATTATATAGGGATAGTATTATTTGTCTCTATTTCATAGAGATGTTGGGATTATAAAGTGAGAAACTGCTACATAAATCTGGGCATTGTCACAAGTTTACCTCAGATTGTCCCTATCCGGTGATCATGGAGATTTAGCTGACAGCATTAGCTCTTACACATCCTCTAAAGAGGGCAGTGAGTGTTATTATTTCCACTTACCAAAAAGCTGAAACACAGGAAATGATGTAATTTCTTAGTCAACAGCAAAGCTGAGAATAAAATCCAAGATTTCTAACTCCCACTGCTTATGTTCTTATGGTAAATTATATCTCTGAATTTCAAAGTTAACTGTAAAACAGACAAGGGTAGAAATATTACCCTTCAGAACAGTGTCCACTTCAGAACAGAGATTAAATACTTACACAAATTAAATTTTCTACTTCAGTGACATGAGTGTAATCCCTAAGGTTGTCTTAAGCCTCATATTCTAAAGAAACTGAACAAAGAACCAAAAAGAAAAATATTTCCATTTCCCTTGTATGGATTTCAGCTCTAGTTTTCTCAGTTAAATAATTAACCAAAGGTTATAAAACTAGGTGAGTTACTACCTAGTTTCAACTAGTTGAGTCTCTAAGCTTCTACAAGGAACAGAAATCATTCTTAAATTGTTTGCTCATAAAATTTTTAAAAAGCATTAAATATTTTATCACATCAAAACACCTAATGTATCTATATAATTTGGGCTGGAAGTTATTCTAACATATTAACTCACAATATCCTGAGCTCAAAATTCAAGTTTCAAAGGGAACAGCATAATTAAAACAACAAAAATACACTGGTATCATTAAATTATTCTTCTGTATAGAAATCAAAATAATAGTTTTGTGGGCCAGGAATTTAGCTCAGTGGCGCCATGTCTGTCTTGCAAGTGCAAGGACCTGAGTTCAATACCCTGTACCAAAAATAATAATAGGGCCAGGGATTTAGCTCACTGGTTCTGCTGCCTGCCTTGCAAGCACAGGGACCCGAGATCTCCGGTACCAAAAAACTCCCCAAAAAACAGTTTTGTGTTTCCCCCTCAAGATCTGCCACAGATATATGCAAACCTTAAAAAAAAAAAAAAAAAAAAAAAAAAAAAAAAAAAAAAAAAAAAAAAAAAAAACCCCAGCAATGAGGCCAATTCTGTCTTCACATCTCTGGCTTAAATAGGGAATCAATGTATCAATGTTCAGTCTAGTTCCTCCTAATTCTTGTTTTCTAGAAAAGCACAATGATCTTTCAATTATTACTAGTTTAATAATCACATATTTTTAAATTATCACAGGGAATAAAGAGGAGGACAAGAGAAATTTCCATGCTCAAAAATGAACTAAATACTGGAGTCCATAAAACCACCCTTATTATTCCCCCGGCTGACTCACAGTCTTATAAATGAAAACTCATCATTTTGTGAAAGGAGCAAAAACCAAGTCACAGGAATCCAAGGAATCATTCTACCAGTGTCAAAAAATTTTCATCCTGAGTGGCCTGAGGCATCTAAATCCACTCCGGGCTACATGCTCTGAGGGAAGTGAAAGATGACAGTGGCCTATAAGGCTGCCTTCAGACATTAGTCCAGCTTTCCTCTGAAAGAAATCTTTATCTTGCTGTCATTGAAACCAATCCTGTCTTCTGTTGGGCAAGGGGCCCTGAGGTTTCTTGAACTTTAATGTGAACATGAATCACCCAGGGATCTTGTTAAACTGAAGAATGATTCAGAAGGCCAAGCTGTAACCCCAGGCAGCTGTTGGCTGGTATGAATGGTACCATTTGCTGGACCATACTTTGAAAAGAAGTCCAAGGAGTGTTTCCAAAAAGAAATAACCGCGATCCAATGCTTCTCAAAATATATGGCCTACACCCAGTCTATAAAGGCAGAGAATATTCCAGAGCCTATACGAGCTCACAAACCACTCACCTCTCCCCACTTTTTGTGGTGCTGGGGATAAATCCCAGGGCCTCATGCACGCTAGAGCTACATTCCCAGCCTCTTTTCATTAAAACACTTTTTGAGGTGGCCTTGCTAAGTTTCTTATGCTAGCCTCGAACTTGTGAACCTGTTGCCTTGGCCTCCCCATTGCCCCCTTTTTTTGGTAGGGGGATCGAACTCAGAACCTCGCACTTGTGAGGCAAGCAGTGGAACCACTAAGCTAAATCCCAGGCCCGCCATCCCTTTTTATTTTGAGACAGAGTCTACAGCAAGTTTCCTGTTTCGCCTTGTACTTGCAGTCCTCCTGCCTTAGCCTCCCGAGAAGCTGAGATTACAGGTGTGTCCTCTCCCTACCTTTCTGTGAATTTTGCCATCTAGTTACACACCTCAATAAAGAACAACTTCCAAGAACATCTTTTGTGCTGACAATTTATTGGAGCATGGTAAATTGATTGGAGCTTTATATGGATGGACATAAAACTTCAAGCATTTTAAAATAATAGAGCTGATTCAAAATAAATATTTAAAAAATTATATCAAACAATAATGAATAACTGTTGTTTACAAAGTTTGTCAGAGAATCATTTGGGATTAATAATATTAATTTCCTCCACCAAATAAATAGTTCATTTAACCCTCCTTAAGCAGGAGAAAATAAGCTCAATAAAAATAAAGTCATGCTCATGGCACCAGCAAAATATTATTTTTATTTTTATTTATTTATTTTGGTTTTTTTGAGACGGTCTCACCATGTAGTTGAGACTGACCTGGGTCTCACTGTGTAGCCCAGGCTGGTCTCCAACTCACAGTGATCCTCCTGCCTCAGCCTCCCGAGTGCTGGGATTACGGGTTGAGTACCACCACACCCAGCTCAAAAATATTGTTTTTAATGAGGAAACTATCAAGACTAAGACATACAAAAGTATCTGAGAAGAATTATGTTATTGAATTTGCCCTAGAACCTGGAGAGAGTTTGGGGAAAGAGAATAACTGGTAATTTTAAGAAAAACTTCAGATGGAAAAGTTTTGCCAAATCCAACCAGCCATTGTGCAAGTTACACAGCCATAGGACCAGGGGGCTGTACTGCCCATTTTCCTCTCATGCTTTTCCAGCCCCTGAGGGTAACATGTGCAGGTGAAGGGGCCAGAGTGAAAGAGCACTGCTTCTCTTCACTTGAAGGGAGAGGCCTCATCTCAAGAATCTCTGCATTTTACTGGACCATATCTCAGTGCTTGTGGGCAGCACTCTTCAGCCCCATGATGGTGAAGGTAGCAGCTGTCAGTTTCTCATAAACAAGGAACATCAGTGCAGCGGTGAGGACTGTCTGCAGCAGTTTTGCTTCGAGACCTTTGTAGAGTCCCATTATTCCAAAACGCCTAAAAGGAAAGAGGTTGGAAAAAACAGAAGGTTTTCTTTGAAAAAGGCAACTCCTACATCAGAGAAATAGCCTGCCCTATTAGCTACTCTGAGAGGCTTTTTCCTAAGTATCAAAATAAGCAGTAGAGGTTTTAGATTTTCAACAGACTTCTGTTGTCAGAGTATTTCTTAGCTTTAAAAGCAACTGGGGACTGATAAATTTTAGTATTCATGAGCCATCAATATGGTCTTTATAGTTATCACTAATTAGTGGAATGTTGGCAATATCCCACTTAATAGGATGCAGATTCTGAAATCTCTTAAAACCATCTTAAAGCCAAAATGTGAGATCTAACTAAGAACTTTTAAGTTAAACGGTCTCCCAACTTGGTCGTTTCAACGGTCCCTAAGAGGTAGCAAAGCTGACAATCGGTTCAGATCATTTTAGCCCCAAAGAACCAGAGAGTGACAAATGACAAATCAAAAGCTGTCTGTTTCTCAGATTTCCCACAGTCTGATCCTCTAGCCCAGAGGGTCCCAAATTTAGCAAGCCCGAGTCACCGAAAGGGCTTGTTAAAATAAAGACTGGGCCATTTCTTAGAGTTCCTGATTCATTAATTATAGAACAGAACTCAAGAATCTGCATTTCTAATGAGCTCCCAGGCATAGAGAAGAACAGTGCCAGCTGGGGTAGGGGGCACCCCTGAGAAGTGTTCAGGGAAGAACGCTTCCCCCAGGACTTGACTTCAAGTCAGATGATCTCTCCAAAACTATCTATGAGAGTGAATTAGTCTCATACGCTAGCTAATCAGCAACTCCAGGACTATACAAGCAGGTGGATGGAGAGATTAAAATTACCCAGTGCTCCATTCTTACTATACCTTATTAGAGGAAAGCCATGATAAATAAATAGAAAACACTGGACCTATGACTTTCTCGTCCACTAACAAATTATGCCACACACACACATACACCCCTTAAAGTCCTCTCACATCAGAAATGCCAGGGTTTGTTTAGCCATGGAGATTGACAGGCACCACCCCAGAGGGAAGGCATGATGTTGCATTTTAACAAGCACCCCCCAGAGATTCTTTTTATAGGGGGAGCATTGAGATAGGGTCTTTCTATGCAGTTCAGTCAGGTCTTCACTATGTGGCCCAGGCTGGCCTCAAACTCATGGCAATCCTCCTGCCTCAGCCTACTGAGGGCTGGGATTACAGGCCTGTGCCACCATGCCCATCTCCAGCAATTCTTAATAACACACAAGTTTGCAGAGACCCGGGATAGTATACTGTACTAACAACTGTAAGGATGAGTGAGAACCAAACAAAAATGTGATAACACACCGGACTTGAAAACTATAACCTCATAGGTCTCTATTTACTACTACCTTCTCAACTTTCTTGATAATGACATCATTCTTTTTCTTTTCTTTTCTTTTCTTTTTTTTTCTGCAGTACTGGGGATTCACCTCAGAGCCTTACACATGCTAAGTAAGCATTCTACCACTGAGCTACACTCTGCCCTTTTTAAAATTTTATTTTGAAAACAGTCTCCCCAGTTGCCTAGGCTGGTCTTGAACCTGCCATCCTCTTGCCTGAGCAGCTGGGATTACAGGTGTGTACCATGGCTGGCTTAACTACATCTTTAACTCTCCCAGTGCTGGTAGAAACAGAAATGTTCAAATTCCTTAATCAGGTAATTTTACATAAGGGAAATTTTTCTACAATTATGATTATTCAGGTATACTAGCTAAATTTATAGACTGTCCATTCAGCAATGTTTGTAAAGAAAAAAAAACCCTGAAACAATCTAAATACCGATCAGTAAGTGTACTGATAAATAAATCATTATATTATGCAACAGGAAACTAAGCAGTCAGTACAAAAAGAAAGTCTACAGATACCGACTGGAGGAATATCTACGACATTAAGTTTATAAAAAGGTGAAGCTGGGGATCTAGCTCAGGGGCACCACACCTGCCTTGCAAGTGCAAGGTCCTGAGTTTGATCCTCAGAACCAAAATAAAAAGAAAAGTCTACAAAAAGGCAAGATGCATATATGCCAAAAATGAATTAGTGTGTATGTGTGTGTATCTATATATTCCAAATATATGTTTTATATAATATTGTGGAGATGTATATACAGAATTTCTTTTTTTTTTTTTTTGGTACTGGGGATCAAACTTGGCACCTTGTGCTTACGAGGCGGGCAGTAAAATCACTGAGCTAAATCCCCAGCCCTGGAGATGTATATACTTAACTGCTAATAGTAACTACCTCGTGGACAAAAAGGAAAGCAGGGTTGATATATATCTGTACCCACAGGTTTACTGAAGTTTAACTGACTTCAATTTGGTGAGTTTTGAGATGTATCTGCCACCATCAACACATTCCATATAGTGAACACAGCCACTACCCCCAGAAATAACTTCATGTCTCTTTTTATCCCTCTGCCTAACCAGGAAACTACAGATCTGCTATCTATTACTACAGATTAGTTCGTATTTTCTAGACTTTGGTTGTTTTTTGTTTTTTTTTCTTTTTTTGGTACCAGGGATCGAACTCGGGTCCTTGTGGTTATGAAGCAGATGCTAGAACCACTGAGCTAAATCTCTGGCCCTACTTTGGTTGTTTTTTGAGACAGGGTCTTGCTATGTAAAATTCAGGCTGGCCATGAACTCTTGATGTAGACCAGGTTGGCCTTGAACTTGTGTCAATCTTCCTGCCTCAGCTTCCCAGGTACTGGGACTATATAGGCATGCTGCATTTTCTAGAATTTTATACAAGTAGAATCATATAGAGAATGAATTCTTTTTTGCCTGACTTCTATCAGCATAATTATTAAGAGATTCTTCCAGGTTGCTGCACATATCAATAATTCATTCTTTTTTATTTCTGAGTAATTCCCTGCTGAATGAATATAACATAATTTCTGTATCTATTTACCCAATGATAAGCATTTGGGCTGTTTCAAATTTTTCATTCTTACAAATAAAGTTGTTATTGGCATTTGTGTACTCGTTTTTATTTGTATAAAAGTACACATATACTTTCATTTCTCTTGCAAAAAAATACTATAAAGTGAAATGGCAGGGTCCTTTGTGGGTATGTTTAACTATTTTTTTGTTTGTTTGTTTGAGACAGGGTCTCACTATGTAGTTGAGACTGACCTGGAACTCACTATGGAGCCCAGGCTGGTCTCGAACTCACAGTGACCCTCCTGCCTCAGCCTCGAGTGCTGGGACTACAGGCGTGTACCACCACGCCTGGCTATATGGGTATTAAAAGAACATGCTAAAATAATTTCCAAAGCAGTTGGGCCATTCTGTATTCCTACCAGTAGCACAAGAAGTTTCTGCTTGTTCTGTATGCTTGGTATATGGTATTTACTTTATAGCACTTCTTTGTCTCTTTTTTTTGTTTGTTTGGTTTTTTTGCAGTACTAGGGATCAAGTTCAGGACCTTGTGCTTGTGAAGCAGGCATAGCGCCACTGAGCTAAATCCCTGGCCCTGTTTTTGTCTTTTTTGAGACAGGATCTCACTATGTAGCTCAGGCTGGCCTTGAACTTTTGGTGATCCCCCTGACTCAGCCTCTTAAGTGCTGGGATTAAAGGCATGCACCACCATGCCCAGCATTTGTCTTTGATTTTAGTTTCTATCTAACATATATTCTATTTCTATAATAAGTTTATTTTCAAAGTATCTTGTATCTAAGAAAATAATAATGCCGGGCATGGAAGTACACGCCTGCAATCTCAGCACTCTGGAGGCTGAGGCAGGAGAATCACCAAGAGTTCAAGACCAGCTTGGGCTATAAATTGAGTTCAAGGCCAGCCTGAACTACATAGCAAGACTCTGTCTCAAAAAAACAAAACCAAAACAAAATAATAAAGTCATACCCACTTTTGTTTCAAAGGAGGCTCCTAACTTATTTGACCTCCCCATGCGTCGGTTTCTACACTTGTTTTTAGCCAAAAAGCCCAGAAGCAATCCCAAAGGTCAGTTTCTTCAAAAGAAACAGGGAATTGATGACAATTCTCACGTCACAGAGATACTGGTAGGACTGAGTAAGATCACCCATGTTATAGCACCTAGATCAATGCTTGCCATGGAGCAAATACTTCAAAAATGTGAGCTACTCTTTCCTATACCATGATCATCATCAAAATTGTCATTATTCTTTTCACTTTCTACTACTTTTCCCAGTACTATTGCTTTGCTGTAAGCACATGTGATCTTTCTAAGAGGGGTCACAGGCCATGCCACTAACAGAAGCAGCCCACAAGCTCTTCCCGGCTCTGTGTTGGATTATAGGGCTATCTTCCCCTCCCCACTCTCCACCCTCTTTCCAGCAGCATTGGAGATGGAACTCAGGGCCTCACATAGTCTATGTATTTGTCACAATCAAGGAGTAAGGGAATAAATTTTTCCATAATTTTCTCAAATGCTGTCAAATACTAAGCTCCTAAACTGAGAAATGTCTGAGCACTGCACGCGAGGGGGAAGAGGAGGTTTCTGAGGCTGCCTCTGCCACAGCGCGTCCAAGCACTCCTGACAGAGATGGTGCTGAGCAGGAGGACAGAATGTGAAGCATCTACAGTGCTCACTTGACTCGCTGGTGAAGAAGATAGAGAACATTCCGAAGGCTCCCCAGTGTTCTGTTTTCTGGATTTAGTCTGTGACGTCCAAACTGAAGAAGGAGAAAAAACAGATAAACAGTCATTATTTATTACTGCTGTCCTTTTTTTTTTTTTGGTACTGAGGATCAAACTTGTGTCCTTGTGCTTGCGAGGTAGGCAGCGGAACCACTGAGCTAAATCCCCAGCTTACTGCTGTCTTTATCTTAATTTCTACCTGGAGAGGAAATTGCATTGGCATATTGTCTCACAGCACATGATTAATAAAAGTATCCAGTTGGTCCCACAGATTTCATTAACCTTCTATTCTTCAATTAAATAATTTAAATATTTTGATGAAACAAGTCAAAATAAGAAATATTTTTCAATAAAGCAAGCATAAGAAAATGGGTGGGGGCAGTTCTTGAGGGTTGAATCCAGAGCCTGTGTATGCTAAGCACACAATCTATTACTGAGCTATGTCTCTAGCCCCAGGAATTTTCATTTTAACAGAGAATTATGGGGAAAATTCTATCTCCAGAGACAAAAACATGCCCAGGATGATAATTTACAATTTCTACAGTATATGCTGTTCACACTATATGTTGTACTGTAACCATATTAAAATATGTTTACGTGAATCTACTGAATTCTTTTCAATTAAGTACCAGTTTTAAAAAATACTTCAGCAAAAATACTTTTAACTGAAAGTAATGTATCTTTTTAACTGAAATGCTCTAACACCTCATTTTATCTAGCAAAAAATCCTTTGAATTTTTTTCTCCAGATTTTCTTTTCTTTCTTTCTTTCTTTTTTTTTAATTTTTCCTGGTGGTGCTAGGGATGGAATCCAGGGCTGTATGAATGCTAGGCAAGTGCTCTACCACTAAGCTATACCTCGAGCCCTAGAACAGATCTTGCATCTGTCTATATCCTTTCTCTCTTCTGCACTGCTGCCATCCTATTCTAGGCACTAGTCCCTGTCACCTAGATTGCTGTAATGGCCACTACCTGACTGTATCATCCCTCTTAACTTCTGCTCAATTTACCAATGATAACATCAATTTTCTGAAATTGTACCTGATCACACATTACTATACAGTTTAAAGCCCTTCAGAGGCTTCCCACTGTGCTGAAAAGAAAATTTTACCTATACTTTTCATGACAGCTTCCCTATTCCTGTTCCAATCTCACCCTGAGCAAGCCATTCTGCAGTTACAGAGGTCCACTTTCAGGTCCCATGACACACCAGGGCTTGGCAATCATGACCCCTGTTCCTGGAATGTACTTTTCTCCCTTTTGCGTGGATGGGTCTTGATTTATCCTTGTATCTTGATTTAAATATGTTTCTCCAGGAAGCCACAGAATGCTGTGTATTTCCTTAATAGTTCTTATCTTAATCTGTAATTACCTATTTATTTCAACTGTTTACCTGTTCATTCTCTCTTTTCCGCTAATTCCATGAGAGCAGGGATTATGACCACCTTAGTCAATAATGTATAACCAACTCTTCACACATAGTGGATTGCTTAATATTTAAAAGGATAAATAATTAAATGAAAAACTGAAATTTAAAAATTCTTTGGGAAAGCTAAATCATGAATTCTTCCCAAGGTAAAACAATTAACCTCTGATTTTTGCAGAAGTGAATTTCATTCCGCACCAAATAAGAAGCCAAGGGATGGCCAGCCTTATTCTTAGTGGAATAAGAACCAAATGGAAAAATAGACGGGGAATACTATGGCATATCAACTTTTATATTACTGCTACATTAAGATCTTGAGATTGCTTTAAATAAAGAGACTATGTATTTTAGGACATTTGACTCACTGCAGACAGAAGACCAATACTCACCCTCAGAATTGACTGTACAGTCTGCATGGGATAGGTGGCTGTGGTAGCAATGGCTTTGGCTATTGCACCAATGATGAACACATCCAAAGAAGAAAGCTGAAAGCAAAGAATATACCACATGAATCCAAAGAAGAATCAGAGTTATTATTTGGCTGCTTTCAAAAGTAAGAGATTACCTGTATCCGCTTCTTTAAAAGCTGCCGTTTTAAACCTTCATAGAACATGAACTGGATAGCAGGATTGAAGACCAACAGTAAGGAGGGAAATGTGCCATTCCACAAAGCCAAGACTCCTTCATCTCGAATGATCTGGTGAAAAGCATCTAAGCAAGAAATCAGACTTTTGAAAAGCCCAAGGACAAAGCCCTAATTAGAAAAAACAAGATGAATTCTGTTCAGAGGTACCCAGAACACAAACTACACTTCTTCTCAGAAGAGTTCCTTTTTGCAATGCACTTTTAGGGGCAAATGCACTGATACTTCTCATTTAATAACCAAGTTCTGTTCCTGCAAATGGGTGGTTAAATGAATCGGTTGCTAAAAGAGGAATTGTATATAGTATGTACATTACAATATTCAGAACAAAGAAATGGTCAAAGGAAATTTCAACTTGATGACTTTGCGTAACTCTTACATGAAGAGTTATTTGTATAATTCTTACATGAAATACTGTAATGTATAACAGAACACAAAATTACAGTACAATCAGCAAAAATTACAGTACTATAGAAACAAGGTATACTGTACCAAAAAAAGGCACTGAAGCTCTATAAACAAGATGTCTATAAACAAGATGTCTATAAACAAGATGTACAGAGCTACTATACCAAAAAAAAAGAAATGGGTTGTTAAATCTGAGTGTTGGGTCAGAAGTCTGAACAGTTGCTAAACAGGTAGGTTATTAAACGAGGACTGCCTGTAGTTACCTACTTTTTAACAGTAATCAGAGCCAGGTGTGTAACATGCCTGTAATCACAGCACTGTGGGAGGCTAAGATAGGAGGATCGCTGCAAGTTCAAGACCAGCCTGGGCTACACAGTGAGTTCCAGAGCAGTCTGAACTACACAGTGAGACTCCATCTCAACCCCCCCAAATAAGTAAATAAGTAAATAAGTAAATAAGTAAATAAATAGCTGGGCATGTAGCTCAGTGTGAAGGCCCTGGGTTCAATCATCAATACTACAGGGGAAATAAAATCAGATATTGATTGTTACCAAGCTACTTAATGAGAGATCAACCTCAATCATTTCATTCACAGGAAACTCTTCCTGACCATCAGAGTTTTTAGAATATCAAATTCTTACCACTACTGAGAACTCTGTACTACAAAGAATTGAAAAGTAACAACCTATATTTTACAACAAGGTGTAGCACAGCAAAAGATCATTTCCCAGAGTCTATTACACAGGCTTTGACCTATAAGAAAATCACTGTTTTAGGGCCGGGATTTAGCTCAGTGGTTCTGCTGCCTCACAAGCATAAGGACCTGAGTTCAATCCCTGGTACAAAAAAAAAAAAAAAGAAAAAAAAAGAAATCACTGTTCCCGTTGCAAAGACAGATGCATAAGAAAGGAAAAATTGTCACTGTAATACCATTCAAAAGTAAAAGCTCAAAGCATCAGATACCAATATGGTACAGCTCAGTTGTAGATGCTTATGTGTGTACGCGTGTAAGTGTGTAGATTTCACTCCCTCCCACCTATACTGTAGGAGTACACTTTGCTACCATTTTCTTGGGCTTGGCTGTATGATGTGCTTTGGTCATTAAGAAGTCAGCAGGCTTGAAATGTGATTGTACAAGTGGGTGTGTCCTCTTGAATTTTTGCCATTACCATAAGAATATGCTCAAGTCTCATCCCAGGAGAACGAGGGGGACAAGTGCATTTAAGCCACTAGGCTGGAGTTGGCCTAGATGAATCAAATCCTTGTCAACTCACTGATACATAAGCTAACCAAATGCTCCTTGATGGTTGCTGGGACTTAAAGTTGTCAAGAAGCTTTACTGTGGTGACAGATTCCAGATACAAAGAGGAACAACAGCTCGAGGAGGAACACCGCTTAGAGACTCTTACCAAAAATGCCTTTGTAGTTGGTTGGTACAATGTCTTCATTCCGAAATTTTGCCCCTTGCAGCTTCAGTCTGGTATTTACTACCCAGAGTGGAGTTGTTAGCAACACATTCACCACTCCTTAAAAAGAAAGGGAGAGACAAAGGAAAAGTAAAGTATAACCCATTATGATTTGCTACATACCAATATCTTTTTTTGGTACCGGGGATTGAACTCAGGACCTTACGCTTGTGAGGCAGGCAGAGGCACCATTGAGCTAAATCCCCAGCCCCCAGTATCTTTATACATCTGCCACTGACATCAGGTAAAACGTGTCAGTGTACCAAGGTATAAAACATGCTATTAGAAGCAATCCGAAACAATACCAATTAATAGCAAAATGGCTCTCAGTAGCATCTCTTTACATGAAAAGTACAGTGTTTCTTTATACAACAGGAAGCCATCATTTCTTGATTTTTTAAAGCATTCAAAGTAGCAATTTTGGGCTGGGGATATAGCTTAATAGTAGAGCTCTTGCCTAGCACGCTAGAGGTCCTGGGTTCCACCCGTAGCACTGCAAAAAACATACAAAAAATAAGTTTGATATTGTTTTAAATACAATTTTAAAATAATAGCTTTGGGAGGAGTGGCTTACTGGTAACATGCTAAGTCTATGACAATATCAGCAAAAACAGAGTTGACAACTCACGTAAGTAGTTCACATAGTTTTAAGAGAGTATGGATCAGATACAATGGGTGACAGATGGGAGTAAGTGGTGACATTTCAAAGTGCTTCAACAGGGATTAGAAGCTCACAGAAGAGTTCCCCATGGCTTAAAGAATTAAGGCAGGCAGGCAGCAAGCAGTAGTTATGAAGTGTCACAAAACACCTGACACAGTTTCACAAGCATCATGATCCTTACAAGCATAAGGATGGATCTTGGCCCCCCAAGGCTGCCAGAGTAGAACAATACAATGAGCCAGGTGCTTCTTTTTTGAAAACACATGGTCCCAATTTAACATCATCTTGAGATATTAAAATGATCATCAGTCCTGAAATGATGAAAAACATACCATATAGAAGTGTAACCAAGTGCCTGACACACAGGATACACTTTATTATAAATGTTAAGCAAAGAACAAACTCAGCAAGCAAGTACACAGGGAGCTGTGTGGTTCTTGTCGTGCTCTGAAGAACCCAGAGGCACAATCCTAAGGAAGAGAAATGTTCTTTTAGTATAAGTCATTTAAACACAACTGGACAAAGAATGTTTTGATCTAAGGAATCTCAAAACACACAGAAAATAGTTTAGGTAAGCCATGCTTCTAATCCCAGCACTCCGGGAGGCTGATGCAGGCTGAAAGTTCAAGGGCAGCCTGGGTAATTTACTAACTTAGCAAGAACCTGTCTCAGAAGAAAGCGGGTGCGCAGTAGGGCTGAGGATGTAGCTCAGTGCAAAGGCCCTGGGCTCAATCCTAGCCCAAAAAAAGTTTAGCCAAGAATAAACCTGGTGAAACAGCTAAAAGATTCAAATACAGTATTTTCATTTGTTGCGCATGGTTGAAAAATATCACTTAGGAACACTAGGAGAATATAATTTTCAAAATAAAAGATATCATCATATAATTTGGTGAGTTGTATGTTATATATATTTGGGGGGGGTACCGGGTATTGAACTCGGGTCCTTGCGCTTGCAAGGAAGGCCACCGAATCGCTGAGCTAAATCCCCAGCCCATGTATATTATATTTTTATAGATTCACAAAATACCAAGAAGTTATCTTTAGTTATAACAATATACGCATACATTGATTGTCACTTGAGGTGTTGATCACAATCTGAAAGTCTTACCAGAAAGACTGTTGCTAGCCTTATTTTTAACACATGCCAGTGCAGCAGAGGCCAAGATAGGATATAAATACGTGCCTACCTGCAGAGTTCAGAATGGATTCCTGTTCAACACAACACACTAGACTAGCATTGCTAGTCTGAACTCTGCAAGTAGGCACGTATTTATATTAGACTATTGTACTTTCATATTTTTTAAAGAGAAAAATGAAGAAAACCTAGAACTCAAGATCACAAGTTCTCTGGATACTATAAAAAGGCAGTGTACAGGGCCAGGGATGTAGCTCAGTGGTACTGTAGCTGCCTTGCAAGCACACGGTCCTGAGTTTGATCTCTGATACTGAAAAAAAAAAGCAGTGTACAAACCCTTCTAAACAAATGAAGTGTGCTGCCTTTAGAAATCAAAAATTTCCTTCATGTTCTATTCAAGAAGTAAGCATACAACAGGACATGTCAGAGGCAATACAACCAAGATTAAGATTTAACCATAATTTAAAATTCTGCTTTCATGTCCCCAATACTAACACAGCTGAAGGACTGAAAGGATTCTCAGGTCAACCCCCATACAAAATGCACTACATTACTTAAGAGCATGCAAAGTCCTTTCAAAAACATTTTGTATGTCAAAGCTCTTTAAGTACTTTTTTCATCTTCTGAGTCAAGATAGATTAAGAGGTATTTTTAAACTACTATAATTTTATGAATTCTTGGAAAAGAAACTGAAAATACTTGAGAATACAACACTTTATTAAAATTTACAACTTATACAATCAAGCAAAGGACAACATTTCATGGAGGTGAAATATGCCACAAATGATCCATGAATACTAACTCCAACTCTTAATAATGCACGACAGGCTGTAAAGATAAAGAATGCTGTCTGCTTATTTATGAGCTTGTATAGAAAAGTCTGGCCAGTTATGGTCTGTGAACATGACTTCAGCTCTAAAATGGGAATACTAATTAGTTCTTTACCTACTTAAGGAGAGATCATTTTTCTCCTAATTTGAATGTCCATGATTCTATTTTCTTTTCTTTTAAAATAACAAATCTGGGCTGGGGATGTAGCTTAGCAGTGCCATGCCCGCCTGGCAAACACAAGGTCCTGAGTTTGATTCCCAGTACCAGAAAAAAAAAAAAATCATAATAAGAGTGGTAATTGAACATGTAAAGTTATTCATCAATTCAGGTGTAGGATCTTGGGAACTATCACCCTAAAGCTCAGTACCCCGGTATGCTGATTATCTTAAATTAGAGGCCCTTGGAGATCAGCAGATATCAGTAAGGCTTGACTCATGTCCACTTATCTGCCTAAAGACCAGCTGGCAAGAAGAAAACAATTTACCTTCCCATTCCTTCCTGCGGTTTCCCTACCTACTACAGGAAGGAAAACAGAAATAGACTGGAGAGACTGTGTTACATGTTGACGCAGCCGGACAGAATGTGTCACAATCTGTTGTCTGACTCTCATCCCATTCATTCCCTCTAACAACTATCGACTCCCTCAAATCACCTTTCTCTTTTCTAGGAAGAAAGACATCTAGGCATCTGAACCTCCCTGAGTTACTGAGTAGTCACTCTCCTGTGATCCTCTACGCAAGTTAAAATGAGTGTGCCTTTTCTCCTGTTTATCTGTTGACTGCCAGTTCATTTCTGGAAACCTTTGGAGGGTGACGGGGGAGCTTTCCTTTCATCCCTACAGAAGGAATAACAGAAATACAGCTATTTACTTTTGAAATCTTAAAACAGTTTTATCAGCAGTGAGCCTCCTTGGTTAGGATGAGAACATGATAATGAAGCATTCTAACTAGGAATGCATCCCTGGAAAATCCACCTAGGGATACAAGAAAATGGCAGATCAAAGCCTTTTGACTCTGGCCTATCATTTAATTTGATATACAACAAGAATAAACTTGACTTGCCAGAGTAAGGCCTGAGGACCTGAAATGCATTCTAAAGTCTCACAACAACGATACCACTGGCACTCAAAAGAATTAGTGGCAAAATTTCCAATTTCATAAAAATGCCAAGTATCTTCTTCATTTAAATAATTGGTATGGTTCTGTTTCCAAATTCTTCCAGCAAGTTTGAGTTTTTGCTGTGAAAATACAGTAAATAATATTAAATTTCTAAGTTTCAAACAGAATTTGAATAACAATAATGTCCCTAGTTCTCCTCAGTGATAATGAAACTCATTTCCTCAGTGATAATGTGCCAACAGGGCTTACCAGAGGAAGAGAAAATGCTGTTCTAATTACTGTAAGATTGTGTACTTATTAACATATAAAAACATGTTATGAAGAAAAGTTTAAAACAATAAATAATTTCCAAGAAATTCTCTACAGTCAGAAAGAGAGAAGACCTTCAATCAGAGAATCTCACATTACAAAGTACTAGAAGACTCTTTGATCCAGGGTCTCTCAACTGTGGTAACACTGACGTTTTGGGCTGGATGAATCTTTGATGTGCACATGTGTGCCTTAATCTTGCAGGATGTTTAGCAGTACCCCTGGCTTCTACTCACACTGGATGCATCCTCAGTGTGACAACCAAAAATGTCTCCAGACATTGCTGTATGTTCTCTGTAAATCAAAATCAGCCTCAACTGAGAATTGCTGATCTACTCCAATGGCCCAATGATTAATCACGCTAACTTATAAAATCTTGAAAGACAGGAATTCAGTTTCACCCCAATTGTCTATTTTTTCAGTAGCTACAGAGACTTTCTACTGATATTAATGGTATGCTTATCATATATATTTTATGTGTCTAATCATCAGAGAAAGGCAAATCAAAACAATAAGATATCTTACCCCAGTTAGAATGGTTACAATAAAATAGACAGAATCATTCCATTATCCCAACAATACATAAGAGTTTTTAGTATCAGTTAAAGAAATAAAAAATTAAAAATATAACATATGCTAGCAAGGATACACAGAAAGGGGAACTCTTATGATCTGTTAGTGGGAATATAAATTAGTACAGCCATTATGGAAAACAGTAGGCAGTTTTCCTCAAAACAAAAATAACCCCCCAAAACAGAAGTACCATATGGTCCAGCAATCTCACTACTCAGTACATATTTGTGATATTAACCTTGACTGTCAACTTGAGGTGGCTTGAGGGCCACCTGAGGGATTAGCAATGCACACTTCCAGGTGTGTCTGGGTGGAACATGGAGGTGTGGCTTCGGAAACTGTATCTGGTCCCTGGTCTCTTCCTCTCAAGGGCTCTTCCCCTGTGCCCTGCTTCCTGCCACCAGGAAGTGAGCAGGTTTGCTCCACTAGACCATTCTGCCATGACATTTCTGCCTTGGAGCCAACTGAGCAGGGACTGAAACCTCTAAAACCATGAGCCAAATTAAACCTCTCCTCTTTTAAACTGCAGGTGTCAGGTACTTTAGCCCAGCACTGGGAGAGCTGACCAATCCAAAGGAAATGAAATCATTATATCAGAAATCCCTGCATATCTGTGTTCACTGCAGCACTCTTCACAAGAGCTAAGATATAGAATAAACCAAGATGTCCACCTACAGTTGAATGGATATAGAAAATGTGTGTATGTGTATATAAAATGAAATATTCAGCCCCCAAAATCCTGTCATTTGTGTCAATATGTATGGAATTGGAGGACATTATTTTAAGTGAAGTAAGTCAGACACAGAAAGACAAATACCAAAATCTGTCACTCTAAGGAAGCTAAAAAAATAGATCCTGTAGAAGTAGAGAGCACATTGAGGCCACTAGAGGCTAGAAAGGGAAGAGAAGGAGGGAAAATTAAGAGGTTGGAAAGGGTACTAAAATACAGTTAGATAAAGGAATTAGTTCTAATATTCCTTCACACAGTAGGGTAACTAGTGTATAACAATTTATCATACATTTCAAAATAACTGGAGAAGTTTGAAGGTTATCAACACATTGAAATGGTAATATTTGAAAAGATGGAAATGCCTATTATCCTGATTTGATCATTACACATTGTATACATGCATCAAATTATAAAACTATTCCCCAAAATTAGTACAAATTATATGTAAATTTTAAAATATACAGATTACAGAAACCACTGTGCTGGACTGATTCTAGTTGCTAAGGATACCGCAGTAAATAAAAAATGAAATCTCTGTCCTCAGGAAGATTATAATCTAATGGTGTAAGAAAGATAATAAGATAGATGAGTACAAAATACAAAATATTAGAAGATAAAGGTTAAGGACAAAATTCAAGCAGAGAAGGGAGACAGAGACTATTAAGAGTTTTAAGGGGTAAGGGCCTGGGATTTAGCTCAGCAGTGCTGCCACCTGCCTCACAAGTGCAAGGTCCTGAATTTAATCGCGGGTACCAAAAAAAGGTGTTTTAAGGGGTATAAGAGTTCACCATGCAAGGCTAGGGATTTAGCTCAGTGCTGCCACCTGCCTCCCAAGCACAAGGTCCGGAGTTTGACCCTTGGTACCAAAAAAAAAAGACTTCAGCATGCAGTTACCAGCAGGAACACAGTTGGACACAGGTAGAACACAGTAGGAATGGTCAGGGAGGACAGAGACCATGGTGGCTGCAACAGCATGACTGAAGACAAGAACAGCGGGGCTAGGTCATGTAGAACTTTGTAGGAAAAGGTAAAGGACTCTGGCTTTTACTCCAGTGAGATGGGAAACAACTTGAGAGCTTTCAATAGCATAATGACATGGTTTCACTTATATTTTTTTCGCTTTTTTTTTTTTGGCACTGGGGATCGAACTCAGGTCCTTGTGCTTGCAAGGCAGGCGGCAGAACCACTGCACTAAATCCCTGGCCCTCACTTATATTTTAATATGATCACACTGTCTGATGTGCTGAATACAGCCTGAATGGGGCAAAGAGAAAGCAGGAGATCAGTTTGGAAGTTCTGAAGATAATCCAGGCAAGATCTGATGGTGGTTGGGTCTTAGGTAGTCGTAGAGAGAAACACAGTAGTCCTCCCCACCCTAATCCTCAATCTCATGTAGTCTCCATTACCTGAAGTCAAATGTGGCCCAAAAATATTAAATAGAAAATGCCATAAAAAAGAAACTCATGTTTTAAGTAACTTTTATATTATTGTAACTGATATTGTTGTAACTGATAACTGTTGTATTTTATTTGCTATTATTGTTATTTCTTACTGTTAATCTATAAATTAAACTTTATCATATGTATGTACAGGAAAAACATACCATATACAGTTTGCTACTACTCGCAATTTCGGGCATCCACCAGGGGACTTTGCAATATATCATCCAAGGATGAGAGGGAACTACAATACCAGAATTCTGGATACCATTTGAAGAAAGAGATAATAGGATTTGCTCAGGGATCACAGGTGTGGTCAGAGAGAAAGGATAAATTCAAGATTTTTGGTAGGGAAACTAGACGACTATTGTTGCTGTTCAGTAAAATAGGACGATTACGGTGCCAGGCACTGATGCCTGGACTATTTCTTAATTGACCTCTGATGTGTTAATAGTCTTTGAGAGAGGCCATATACATACATTTATTTAGCATAGCATATAAGACCCTTCCTTTTGTCTCAGAATGTAGGAATCCTGTGTTGCTGCTTGCCCAGACAGGCTTCTGTCCCTTCTGTTCATCAAGTTCTTAATAAATTGCATTTTTTGTTAAAAAAATAAATTAAAAAAAATAGGAAGACTACAGGAAGAGCAGTCCTTTATTTCAAATTAGCACCTTCACCATGCCAGGAATTGTGCTAGGACTCTGGGGATGCAGAGATAACAAAAAAGGCAATCTCTGGCTTAAGGAGCTTACCATCTGGTAGAAAATAAAGCAGAATTATTACACAGTGAACTCTTGCCACTAAGGAGTAGGTACCATACTGGAGCACAGGAGAATAAAATGTGAGGATAGTGGGTATGGGAAACAAGGAAGAATTCCTGAAGAAGAGGAAACTAAGAAGAGACAGATGAATAGGAGTCTAAGAGCAAATAAGCACCAGCACTATTTCAGGCAGAACACAAGTCACTATAGAGGAATGGAATCACTACTAAACGGCTCGGGGCTGTCACAGAATCACAGCTTGGCATGGGAGGATACTCATGCCATAACACTTTCCCTACAGTAAAAGAGACAATGGGCAGAAGCATGTTTGAGAAAAGACAAAATTCACTCTTGGTAAACACCAAACTCACTGGACAAAGCAGAAGAGCTGGACATACTAGCCAGTAGCCTATTAGTGACAGAACTCAACCTGCACCTCTTCTGCCCTCTCTTCTAATCAGTGTGGCTACTGGCATCCAATTAGCATACATTCAGGGATGGTCAAATCCCAGAGTTTGAGGAGCTATGCCTGACAGCAGAAACAAAAGATATACAATGCATATGTATGTATGGATTTGTGCAATTCAAGGACAAAAAAAATTAGATTAGAAATTGGGGGCCTGGGATTTAGCTCAGGGGCACCGCAGGCCTACTTCACAAGCACTAAGGTCCTGAGTTTGATTCCCAGTCCAAAAATAAATAAATAAATAAATAAAATAAAAAAATTGGGCAAAACATTTGAAGAGCTATTTCTGCAAAGATGACATACAAATGGCAAGAAGCACATGAAAAGATGTTCAACATCAGAAAAATGCAAATCAAAACCAGAATGGGGCTGGGGATTTGGCTCAGTGGTTCCACAGCCTGCCTCGTAAGCACAAGGGCCCGAATTCAATCCCCAGTACCAAAAGAAAACAAAACAAAATCAACTAGAATGATATAGTACCCCATACCCATTTGGATGGCTACTATCATAGAACAGAAAATAACAAGTATTGATGAGGAAGTGGAGAAACTGGAGCTTCTGTATTACTGCTGGTATTACAATGGTATTACTGCTATGGAAAACAGTATGAAGGGTTCCCCCCAAATTAAACAAAAAACATCATCCAGCAATCCCATTTCTGGTATATATCCAAAAGAATTCAAAGTAGATTCTCAAAGAGTTATCTGCACACCCATATTCACAGGGAGCACTTCACAAAGCCCAAGAGGTAGAGGCAACCTAAGTGTTTGTAATAGATGAGTGAATAAACACAATGTGATACATACATACGAAAGATTCTTATCCAGCCATAAAAGAAGTGTTTTTTTTGAGACAGTCTCGCTATGTACTTCAGGCTGGCCTCGAACTTACTATGTATCCCAGGATGACCTCAAACTTGCAGCAATCCTCCTGCCTCAGCCTCCCAAGTGCTGGGATTACAGATGTGTGCCACCATGCCTGGTATATATTTTTTGAAAAGGAAATATAAGCCACATGCTACAAGATGGATGAACCTTGAGCACATTATACTAAGTGAAACGAGCCAGTCACAAAAAAACAAATACTGTACTATATGAGTCCATTTACATGAGGTATCTAAAGTAAAATTCTTAAAGAAAGAAAGTAGAATAATGGTTACCAGGGCTTGGGCAAGGGGGAAAGGAGAGTTTATTTAAGGAGTATAGAGATAGGTTTGCAAGATGAAAGTTCTGGAGATCTTCAAAACTTGAAAACAGTGTAAATATACATAAGACTGTTGAGTTTAAAATGGTTAAGATTTTATTTTTGGTACTGGGGATTGAACTTGGGTCCTTGCACTTGCGAGGCAGGCAGCAGAACCACTGAGCTAAATCCCTGGTCCAAAATGGTTAAGATTTTACAAATGAAAATACATCAGAAAACTATACTCTTCCTACATGTGCTGCTGAAGTGAGCACAAAAAAACTATATTCTTTGTAGCATTCATGGTGCTAAAAAAAAAATCTAGAGGATATAAGAACCGAAAGATAAATATTAAAATATAAAACATTTTATACCTAGAAAACTTCATTACCTGCAACAAATCCAACTACCAGATCTTTTCCAGTAGTAGAACGTTGACCTTTGACCCAAACTGCTTTGAGGCTATTAAAAGTGTAGAAATAGACAAAATTGGAGCAGCAGAGACTGGAAATAACTGGAAACCACCCTCGATATGGTGCCAGGCTAGGGAAGAAACACAAGAAACAATGTGAAAGTCATGGACAAAAGCTGTTCGAAACTGCCAGAGAAGTCCTAGGAAAGGTTCTTATCACATAGTTTCCAGATTTATCCCTATATTATAATGGACTCCAAATCACATACTTTACACACATACTTTACATTTCTTTTTCCTTTTTTTGTACTGGGGATCGAACTCGGGACCTTGGGCTTGCAAGGCAGACAGTGGCACCACTGAGCTAAATCCCTGGCCCTCCTATTTTTCTTTTTGCAGTGCTTGGGGTTGAACACTGGGCCTTCGCACCAAATTACATCCACAGCCCTTTCTATTATTATTTTTAAAATTTTTGAGACACTAAATTTTAAATTTGGTGAATTAGTTCTCACTAATTTACTAAGTTACCCAGGCTGGGCTCAAACTTGGGATCCTCCTATCTCAGCCTCTCAGAGAGCTAGGATTACAGGTATGTTTCACAATGCCCAGCCACACTTTACATTCTGTTTTTGTTTTTTTCTTTTCTCTTTTGGTACTGGGGATTGAACATGGGTCCTTGTATTTGTGAGGCAGGCAGCAGAACCACTGAGCTAAATCCCCAGGCCTACACTTTACATCCTGAAGGATATTCAAATCAAGAAATTCTTTCTAGAAGAAAATAATACAAAGTCAATGACTGACTTACTAATTGTTTTCCTTAATCGCTTTTAGTAACATTAGCATGTAAAACTAGAGAAAATTTCATCATGGCTTAGATAACATAGATCATTCAGTCATTCACTATGTTTCTTAAGACAAGGTCTTAAGTACTGTAGACTGGTGTTAAACTTGTGATTTTCCTGCCTCAGCCTCCCCAGTGATGCAAATACAAGTGTGTGCCACCATGCTGGCCATACTCATATTTTATTTACAGGACAAGAACATTTAAAATGTAGTAACTACGGAAAGACATCCAACAAAATATGATTGGAGTATATCATAAGCACAAAGGAACTAGACTGAAGGGGCTCCTACTGGCCAAATCAAGGATAATTTGAGCACCAAGGTAATTAAGTAGAGTAATAAGTTGTAAACTATTGAAAAAGGAGAAATTTTAGTCCATATTGATAATGGATAGACAGACAGACAATGTCAAGGCTAGTAAATGTGGATACAAGGCTGGAATTGGAAAATCATTTGCAACTCTGGAAAATTCAGGGGGAGTTTGATAAGGAACAGGATGTTTGCATTGTCTTAAAATATCTCCCCATAGAATGAAAATAAAAATTATACAGTGGCTAAATCAAACATAAGAAATCATAAGCAACCAATGGGGAAGGCAGGGACAAGGGGAAAAACAAGAACCAAGACCGGTCATGTAAAGGTACAAGATCCCAATGATGAATGTAACTGTACTGTATTCCTAAAATGCACCAATAAACTCAATTAAAAAAAAAAAGCAACCAATGAAGAACAGGCAGACAATATGTAACTCTGGATATAATACGTCGAGAAAGATATAATGTCACTTATGCATTTTTTTTTTTTTTAAAAGAACTTCTTGCTATGTGCCCAGGGTGAGCTCAAGCCACGCTTCTATCTCAGCCTCCCAAGGAGCTGGAACTGCAGGTGTGCACCACCACACCAGCCATCTATGGGTTCATCATTTTAAGAAGTATAAGCTTAATCTAATCATGAAGAAACACGAGGTGAATTTAAAATGAGAAACATTCTCAGGACCGGGGATATAGCTCAATGGTGCTGCTGCCTGCCTCACAAGCTCAAGATCCTGAGTTTGATCCCCAGTACCAAAACAAAACAAAACAAAACAAGAATGCTAAAATGAAAAACATTCTGTATTTTTAAAAAAGTGCTGGGCATGGTAGCTCACACCTATAATACCAGCACTCAGGAGGCTGAGGCAGGAGGATCACCCCAAGTTCGAGGCCAGCCTGGGCTACACAATGAGTTCAAGGCCAGGCTGAACTACATAAACAGATCCTGTCTCAAAAAAAAAAAAGTGTGTGTTTGTGTAGGATGTAACAGTTAATCTTGATGATTAACTCAACTGGCTTGAGAACTACCTAAGGGACCAATAAAGCACACTTGTGAGTGGCTGGGTGGGCCATGGAGATGTGACCTTGTGGATAATGTCTGGTCCCTAATCTCTTTCTCTCCTACATTCTTCCCTTGCTCTGCTTCCTGGTTGCCATGAAATGGGAAGCTCAGCTCTGCCACACTCTTCTGCCATGATGTTGCTGCCTTGGAGTCAATTAAACAAGGCCTGAAACCTCTGAAACTATAAACCAAAATAAACCTCTTCTTTAAATTGCAAGTGTCTGGTATTTTGTCCCAGCAATGGAAAAGCTGACAAATAGGGCAGGGAGGACTATATTCTTCAGAAGTGTCAATGTTCCCAGGCATGGTGGCACTTGCCTGCAATTCTAGCATTCTTTTTCTTTTTTTTTTTTGTACCGGGGATTGAACTCCGGTCCTTGAGCTTGCAAGGCAGGTGGAGGAACCACTGAGCCAAATCCCCAGCCCTAATTCTAGCATTCTAGAAGGCCGAGGCAGGAGGATTCCAACTTCAATCCAAGCCTGGGCAACTGAGTGACTCAGCAAGACCCTGTCTCAAAAACTAAAAAGGCCTAGGGATGTAGTTCAACGATAAGGCCCTGAGTTCAATCCCTAGCAACACAGACACACACAGATGATACAGACACACACACACATCAGCTGGGCAGGGTGACATGCACTTGTAATCGGAGCACTTAGGAGCATGAGATCAAGAGTTTGAGACCAGGGCCAGGGATTTAGCTCAGTGGTTCTGGCGCCTGCCTCACAAGTGCAAGGGCCCAATTTCAATCCCCAGTACCAAAAAAAAAAAAAGTTTGAGACTAGCCTAGACTACACAGTAAGACCCTGTCGAAAGAAAGAAAGAAAGAAAGCTGGGCATGGTGGCGTACACCTGTAATCCCAGCATTTGGGAGGCTGAGGCAGGAGGATTGCTGTGTGTTCGAGACCAGCCTGGGCTGCACAGTGAGTTCCAGGTCAGTCTCAACTACATAGTGAGACCCTGTCTCAAAAAGAAAAAAGGAAAGGGAAATGGAAACAGAAATGGAAAGGGAAAGGAAAAGGGAAGTGAAAAGAAAAGAAAGCCAGCCAGCCAGCCAGCCAATATTACAGGAGTTAAAAGGATCTGATACATTTAACTTCTCAATCCTGAAAATATCTGTATGCAGTGTATGTGTGTGATAAATTAGGAAGGAGGAAAAATGTGAGCACAAATGATAAAACAGTGGGAAACAAGGTTAACAGATAAATCTGGATAAAACATATACTGGTCTTTGTACAAGCCAGCTTTGCAACTTTTTGTAAATCTGAAATTATTCCTAAATTTTAAAAAATAGGGATATAATTTGCCTGAATGCATCTGATACAAATGAACTGACAACTATTATCTTAAATTTACTGCACACTAAACAAAGCACGGGTTTTCTAGAAGACACCATGATAAAGAATCCAATGGCTAACCACAGATTTTTAAGGAAATGAAAACAATTGTGTACTTAAGAGTCAGGCTGTTACAAATCCACATTTCAAAGCTATGAGACTAGAGAGAGGGTTTAGGTGTACTGGAGGCTAAGAAACCTCACAGTTGTGAGATGAGGTGGTACTCACAGGCCTTCTTCTTTAATAATCTCCAGCAGCACCATGTGCGTAGTTTTAGACTTCCTTTTCTCATCAACTACAAGACCAAAAAGCACATGTCAATTAGAGAATTATTTCCGGCACCAGGAAATTTCACTGAAATGCTATTTACCTAATCTGCATGATTTCTCATTGTTTTTGCTAGCCAGATTACCTCAGATTTTCCTGTGCTAAATTCCTAATCATAGATTCCTTGGACTTCGCCTGTTATTCATAAAGCATTTTAGTTAAACTCCTAAGTTCTAAAATAAAGTAGAAATTTACTTCTTATATTTCATTTGAATGACTAAGACGGGATCTCACTGTGTAGTTCAGGCTGGCTTTGAGTTCACTATGTTGTCCAGACTGGCATCAAACTCAGTGACTCTCCTGCCTCAGCCTGCCAAATGCTGGGATTAAAGGAATGCACCACCACACCTGGCACCTATTTCTTATATTTTATAAAGCTGTTTTTATTTTATTTGTTTGTTTGTTTGTTTGTTTTTGGTACCAGGGATCAAATTCGGGTCCTTGTGCTTATGAGGCAGGCGGCGGCACCACTGAGCTAAATCCCCAGCCCCTATAAAGCTGTTTTTAAAAGTAATATATTCATAGATTTATCCTAATAGCCTATATTTACAGAGAAAATAAATTACTATCTTTCTTTTGTAAGAGAAGCTACAGACACAAAAGCTAAGTCAGTATTAAAACTCAAGTTTCAGTCCATAATTCCAGCACCTTAAGAAGTGAAAGCAAGAGGATCCCAAGTTTGTATCCAGCCTGGACAATTTATCGAGATTGTCTTCAAACAAAAATAAAAAAGGGCTAAGAATGTAGGTCAGTGTGAAGGAACTGGGTTCAGCCCCAGTATCACTGAAACAAAACGTAAAACAAAACCCTAAATTTCAAGTTTTTGGCCTCAATTTCTAGTCCTAAAATGGTGAAAAATCTCACAAAAGGATGAAAACTCTGCTTTTCATTGAAAACAAGATCTACCTCAATTAACTTCAAATTTCCTACTCACACTTGAAAAGTAATTTGAGAACCTAAAAGTATGAAAATTAACCAACTTTGTAAGAATTAGATTGGGTACCAGTGTGGCTTATGAAATGGCAAATTATAAAACCTCTAGTGAAGACAATCTGGCAATAAGTATCAAAATTACAAATACAGGGTAAGCAATTTAGCTCAGTGGTTCCGCCACCTGCCTCTCAAGGGCAAGGTCCCGAGTTCGATCCCTGATTTAAAAAAAAAAAAAATATACATCTACTTTTTGATATAGTAATCCTATGTCTTGGAATTTATCCAAGAGAACTTAGAGAAACAAAGAGGTATATGAACAAATCCACATTCACATCTTATATGTAGTAACAAAACAGTGAAAACAACCCAGGAATGCACAGTAGGGGAAGAGAAAATAGGTTCAACACCATGGAACACTACAGCTGTAAGACAGGATATGCCGATTTGAAAGACATCTAAAACATACTGTTAAGCTCAAAATGCAAGGTGCCAACAGTGTGTAAAGCATGTTTTTTTGTTTAAATAAGGGGAAAAAAATTAAGGATATATGTTGGGTCAGGGATTTAGCTCAGTGGTGCCACTGCCTGCCTTGCAAATGCAAGGACCCAAGTTTGATCTCCAGTACCAAAAAACAAAAAAGGAATCTATGTTATTTGCTGGTATTTTATAAAGAAAGTCTGCAAGGCTACTCAGGAAAGCAGGAAAGGCTGATCACCATTCAGTCTCAAGGATCACATCTAGACTACCATGGACTCTAAATAGTACAGTTCCCTCCCCTCCCTTCCCTTTTCCTCTTTTCCTCTCTCCCCTCTCCCACTCTTGCTGGGGACTGAACCCAGGGCCTCATGCATGATAAACAAGCACTCTACCATTGAGCTACTTTCTTTTTTTAAGTAAAAAAAATGAGGCACTTGGGAAGCAGAGGGAGGAGGCCAGCGTGGGCTACAAGAGAGGGCCTGTGTCAGAAAATAAAGAAAGACGAGGCCTTGATGTGTTGTTCAGGCTGGCCCTAAACTCCTAGACTCAAGCAATTCTCCTTCTTCAGTCTCTTGAATAGCCGCAACTACAGGTATGAGGTACCATTTACCGGCTACACCTTCCATTTTTAAGATTTTCAAATGAAAAAGCTTTGAGCAGTGATGACACCAAGGAAATACCACAAAGTGAATACTGACCACTATGTGGGGGCAGACTAGACTGAATGTTTCCTGTACTGTATACCTTTTTGCACATTTTGCTTTTTGAATCATAAAATTATGACCCATTCAAAAACTCTAAATTAACCACACAGTAGGCATAATGAGTTTAACCTTTGATTTAGTATTCAAAGATAATTGTATGCATTTTTTTAATGTAAGTTCCAGTATTGGTTTATGATTTTAAGATGAAAAAGTTGAGAAAAAAACCTGCAAGAATTAAGTGAGTTGTGTAATCTATAGTTATATTTGGGTTTTTTTGAGGGGGAGGATACAGAGGATTGAACTCAGGACCTTGTGCTTGCGAGGCAGACGCAGCACCACTGAGCTCTATCTCCAGCCCAGGAGTCTTTTGAGTTAAGGAAGCAAACCAAGACAAAAATGCTCTACTTTGTGGGTTTGAAAAACCATGGCTGCTGGAAGTATAACTCAGTCCCAAGCACACGTGAGGGACTGGAGAGAGAGAGGGAGAGGGAGAGGGAGAGAGGCAAAGAGGAAGAAGGGGACGGGGGGGGGAAGGAGGAGGAGGAAAGGAGGAGGTACGGCTTATTAGAAAAAGTTGCAATGATTCCAAACTATTCGTGTAAGCCCACTCAGGTTCTCTCACGTTAGAAAGTGACTAAGCCTATGGCTCATCCACGGACAACTCTCTGCTAATAAGGAAACAATGATGACCACTAGTTAAAGTCAGGCAACAACGGATATCTAAAGAAACAGAATATCCTTACTTTAATTTAGAATTCGTTAGCGAAATATGTTTGCTTCCTAACATCATATATATGGGAGTATGGTTAATACTCACCCTGAAGTCGAAGTCGAGCTGTATCCAAGGGAAAAAACACTGTCATTGCTGTCACACTTCCCTGAAAAGTTTGAAAAAGGCTTTAGTCACATCACAAAATTAGCCACAACTTTAAAGTGAATAATTGGTTAAATCAGATATTTCAGTGAAATACATACAATATTTTAATCTATTATCATTCAAACGTCTATTATTGTTCTTAAATAAAAGAATTTAATTTTCCAGAGGAACTCTCTTCTCTGATACTGAAAAAGAAATGAAGTACGTTCCTACAAACGACAAACTTAGCAATCTACAACCTAGGACACGTGACAGCACACAAAGATAGATAGATAGATAGATAAATGTTTAACCTTTTACAATCAAGTGCTGCTACCATGCTTATTCACTGATAGCTTCAAACCAAAATATTCAGTAAGTATACAGATTTATACTTCTATTTTCTGTGCTTAATATATTTGCTACAAAGTTAAAGGGCACATAAGAACCATACTGTTCTTCAAAACAGTTTTGTTTGTTTTTTTTCTTCAATAAAATAGGTTTACTCTATGAAAACTCATTCCAGGTAACACAATGACACAAATTATCAATGGGGAAAAAAAACCCTGAACAACCAGCCTTTCCCTTCCTAAAAAATTAAAACAAATAAAAACCAGAAGCATTTATTTAGGGATAAAATTATCGACATGACACTTCCAGTTCAGTTTATGATCCCAACCCAAATACAAGCCCTTCATTGTACTGTCTCAGACATGAAATTAAGCTTTAGGCTACCGATCTCATAAAATACAGTCACAACTAGAAACTGGGTCAATGCTAAGGTGCAAAAATTTTCTGGGCCTCTTTTATCTACATAAATGGGTAAGCCTGCTTGACAAGTGAGAGTATTCCATTATAACATTATTACTCCTCTCTTCCCCATCAAGTTATAAGGTTGCTCAGCTCCTAGGTTTTTACAGCATTTTCTGCACAGTGAAATTTAGCTCTATATTGTGAGAACATTAATTCTTTTTCTTCTTTCTTTTTTCGTACTGAGGATCGAACTCAGGACCATGTGCATGTGAGGCAGGCAGTGGCACCACTGAGTTGAATCCCCAGCCCAATTATTTTTTTCTTTTTGGCTTTTTGAGACAGGGTCTCACTGTATAGTTGAGACTGACCTGGAACTCACTACGTAGCCCAGGCTGGTCTCGAACTCACAGTGATCCTCCTGCCTCAGCCTCCCAAGTGCTGGGATTACAGGTGTGCGCCACCACGCCCATCCAGTGGCCCAATTCTTTATCTTTGCACATTGTAGATTCTCAAATATGTGTTCAATTCACTCTATGCTTGTTATGTTTATTCATATTTTTTGAAGACTCTAACATAAATGTTGTTTTCTTGTAATGACAGGATGATATTCAAAAGTCTTACGGGAAAATGACCAATAAATGCTGGACCCTGAAGTTTTATACTGCCGAATCCGTGACTCTAGCATCCTTGTTCAGTTTGCAGGCAATCTTCTAATGTAAATGGGGTGGAGGAGCTTGAGAGGGCCTATTCCATTTGTTAAACTGTGGGATTCATTTCCCACTTCATGACACTGCATGGATATGCTATATACTACCTGGACAGGGCAGCTCCAGGTGGCAAAGTCTGGACTGGATGCTACTTTTTCAAACTACTGAGCCACTTCCACCCCTCTCTCTGCCAGCTTTAAACAGCCCTACCCTATGTATCTCAAAATCTTAAAACGGAAACAAGATAAAGACAACAGTCAGCTCAGAGCTCATCGGTCTGCTATTTCCTCAAGAACTGGTAAAGAAAAATTCAAGTCAAATGCTGGGTGTGATGGTGCCACCTACAATTCCAGTGCTCAGGAGGATTTAGTTAGAAGCCAGCCTGAAATATGCAGTGAGGCCCTGTCTCAAAACATCAGGAAAGAAGGAAGGTGGGGAAGGAGGGAGGAGGGAAAAGGAAGGAAAGAAGGAAAGAGAAGGGAAGGGGAAACGAGAAAGAGAAAGAGGTAGGTAGGGAAAAGAAAAGTGGGGAGGGATTTTACTAATGGATACTTTAAACTCTAGTTCCTCAAAGCGAACATATCACATGGCGGCACCCTGCAGTTTATTAATCAGCTGATCTTAAATTGGGAGATTATTTTTGATTATCTGAATGAAGCCATGTAACACAGACAGAGGCAGAAGAATAGCTGGGAGTGATACCATGTGTGGACTCAACTCATCATTATTGGCTTTGAAGATGGTGCCAGTGGCAGCCTCTGCAAGGTGGAAAGGCAAGGAAATGGATGTTCCCCTAGTCTCTGAAAAGGAATACAGCTCTTACAGCACACATTTTAGCTCTATGAGACCTGTGTTAGTCACTAAGTCAGTAAATTCAACAGAATTACTACAAATGATTAGGACAAACACTGAATATGAAGGGAGCCTGAGGGTAATTCTTGGGCCCTAGGTACTGTGCACTAGGTACTGTGACTACAGCAGCCAAGCAGTGGTTCCAGGTAGCAACACTGAATACTGAGGGAAGTGCCTGAAGTCCCTGGAACGCACATTTGGCATACAAAGCTCCCCAGAAAGCTAATCACTGTCATACTGAGCAAGAAGCCCCGCCCACCTTCCCATCACAGTCCCTGGAGGCCAGCAGAAGCAGACAGGCAGAGGCTGGGAGGGTGGTTATGCAGGAAGGGGAACTAAAAGCTCACAGTGTCACCCTATTAAAGAAAGTGTACACTTATGCAGATGCATTCTATGCTTTATTAGAAAATCTACGCTCAATGTGAGGGTTAAAAACTTAAGGTTGAAATGTGAGCTTCTAGTTCCAGTATAGTTGGCCTTAGACAATGTGCTAAAAATACCTACAAATACTGACTATAGTAAAGAAACATCCTTTAAAGGGCCCAGCTAAACTCAGAAGAAAGTAAGGGAAATCTAACAGAGGAGTAGAAATCCACAGGGTTAGGTGAGCAGGCCCTTCTACGTCCCAGGATTTTTTGCTGGTCTGTTGTCAAGTGACTTTTTTGTTTAACTGAAGTGAAATTCATTCAATATAAAATCAACCATTTAAAATTATACCAAGCCGGGTGTGATGCCTGTAATCCCAGCACTCGCAGGCTGAGGCAGGAGGATCACTGCGAGTTCGAGACCAGCCTGGGCTACAGAGTTGAGTTCCAGAGCAGCCCTGAACTACAAAGTGAGACCCTGTCTCAAATAAATAAATAAATAAAATTAAATTATACCATTCAGGGGCCGGGGATTTAGCTCAGTGGTTCTACCACCTGCTTTGCAAGCATAAGGACCAGAGTTCGATCCCTGGTAACCACCTCCCATATATATACACCATTCATCCAGGCGTGGTGGTATACACCTGTAATCCCAGCACTCAGGAGGCTAAGACAAGGACAATTGCTGAAAGTTTGAAGCCAGCTTAGGCTACAAAGTGAGTTCAAGGCCAGCCTGAACTACATAGTGAGACTCTGTCTCAAAAAACAAAACAAAATTAAATAAATAAAGTTATACCACTCAGTGACATTTAGTATATTTGCAATGTTGTGCAATTCTCAATTCCAAAATATTTTCTTCATCCTGAAAAGAAAACCCCCACCCATTAAACAGGCATTCCTCATTTCTCCCTTTACTCAGTTCCTGGCAGCCAAGAATAAACTATCTGTCTGGATGTATCTTTTCGGAATATTTTCTATAAAGAAAACCATTATCTGGTGTCATTTTATAACTTTTTTTTTCATTTACCATAACATTTTCAAAATTCATCTACCTTGTAATATGTACCCATTCATTCTCTTTCATGATTAATAAATATTCTATTATGCATATACAGTACATTGTGTTCATGCAAAATGAATTGGTTTGTTTGGTTGGTTGTTTTTTTTTTTTTTTTTTTTTTT